GAAAGAAAATGTGTTTGAGAGGGTCTTCCTGGTTTGGCCCCACCCGGATGTATGTTTTTCCAAAAGTAAGTGACAGCAAAGGATGCTGGAGCCAGGGGTGGTGTGAGGAGTAGAGGTGTCATGTAAGTCTTCCCAAAGCATGGCATGCCTGGAAGGCCTTTCCTTCCCAGCTACTAGAAATAAGGGAGCAATTAGCTTGAGTGGAGTCATGGCTACATATTTGGCTGTGATCCTCAACGTCAGCACCAACCTCTCCAAGGGGAAAGATAGGGGTTTCTACTCCTGTAAACAATTACATCTTAGAAACTCACGGGGGCAGCTCTAGCCTCTCCTCTATGATGCAGCATTGACTCTATGGTAGTGAGGACATTATGCCTCCCCAGTTAGAGTCTACCATCAGGGGTAAACGTGCGCACCCTAGAGGCCTCCCTTGGAAAACCCTCCCACGTAATACAGTCTGAGACACGGAAATATTTGCGGGAAGAAGTGGTTGAGTCTTGAAGAAGGATCTGGAAAGAAGGAACGTTTTCTGCTGGCAAAATGCACGCCCACGATGGTCTTGCAGGATGACTAGCTTAGGGCTCCAACTGGATAGACCAGTATTGAAAGCAGGGGAATGGAGACAAGGGCGGGAGAGGGGGTGGAGGGAGACTGGGCTTTAAGGACCAGCCCAGTATAAACCAGCCCTCCAACAGGGTAAGTGAGTGGGAGCGAACTGGAGCAAAGGGTCCCATCAAGTCGTGGTACTTGAGGTTGCCAACCTGAGGCCTCTCTGGCCCTCAGGGCAGCTCCTCTTCTAGTGGCAGAACTTTTGGCATTGGGGCCATGGATTCTGGGGATCTCTCACCTCAGGACATTCTTGCGGATGATGGACTGGGCCTGCCTTTTCTCTTTTCTCCTGGCCCTCTTCGCCTCCTGTATGTCCCTGTCACAGAACACCAAAGGAACTGCTTCTAACATTTTCCCTGGGGAACCCAGGTCTAACTTTTCTAATTTCTTCTCGATGTTCGCAGCAGACTGAGTTACAGACCTAACTCGGAGCACGATTTGTCCTGCGCCTTCTCAGGGTCTAAATCTGTGTGCTGAGCTCATGCCTGTCTCGGGTACACGAAAAACAGCAGTCAGGTTCTCCTGAGGCTCTTGGTCAATGGTTCTAGTTTGTTATAGTTAATCAGCATCAGTGGAGACGCTTTCATTCCTTGTAAAATACAAAAGAGCTGATGATCTGTTGACCACTTCCCTCCTATTGCATCATAATCCCAGTGGGGATCACTATTAGGTATGGCTTCTGTCCCCGGCATGAAATTATGCATTTCCTTGGCAGAAGCCAAGGCCTTGCCCTTAATGCCCTCAACCTCCTAGATGGTTACAGCCCCTGGAAAGGTCAGATTGATGTCTTTCCAAGACAAGTCAGAGGCATTGTCTCCATTTCTTAATGAACTGACTGGGGTCATCTGTAAAACAACCTAATTTATCTTGAATGCTTACTAAGTGCTGCATGGTGAATGGGGCTTGGACCCTGACTATATCACCTGGCCCTGGGGAAAACACTGAGGGTCCCAGGCCTTGGGCAGTGGCTTAGGCTCTATCTGCTTTTCTGCCTTGCTTTCACTGGGACTTAAAGGTTCTGGATTAGGCAGTGTGGGCTCTGGGGCTAAAGGAATCGTTGGCTCCTGGGGTCTCAGTGAGGAAACTGAGAGCTGGTTTTCACATTTACAGATTTTGGGTTATTTTTTCCCAATGTCTGCAAGAAGACAGGGTCAATTTTACAATTCTTGAACAGTTGGGGGTGGGGGGGCGGCATTTCACAGAACCATGAAAGCCTGTATATAGGGGACCTCTGTCCGCTTTCCTTGCCTCCTGCAAATCAAGTCCATTTGCAAGATGGTATCATAATTTAGACTACCATTTTCAGGCCCAATTTCCCCACTATCTAGTTTATACTGAGACCACGCTGGAAATTATGATTTCTATCGGCAAGTGCTTCAAATTCTCTTGACAAGCGAGGCGGTCACCTGCATATCCAAGGAGGTTAATGAGCCTTCTTCCTGTCCTGATGCTGCGTTCTTCTTCACACAGTCCAACTTCTCAGCTTCTTTACCCAGCATACAGATTGGATAAGTGTGATGAAATAATGCAACCCCGACCCACAGTTTTCCTTGTCTTAGATAACGCACTGGCCCCTTGAATGACTTCCGTTTGGTCCATGTACACGTTCTGCACAGCACAATTAAGTGTTGTGGAATTCCCATTCTTCTCAGAGTGAACCACAGTTTGCTAGGATTCAAACTGGTGAATGCCTTTGTCTAAACAGTAGAACACAAACATCTTTTTGGTGTTCTCTGCTTTCAGCCAAAACCCATCTGTGGTCACAGACTGTACCCACCGTGCCACATCCTCTTCTGAATCAGACACTCTCCTGTTGATGTGCTGCTTCAGCCAGTTTAAAATTACATTCAGAAAAAAATGGACTTGCATGTGAATTTAATTATGTTGTTCTATCATTTTCATAATCTCTTGGGTTACCTTTCTTTGGAAAGGACACACATATAGATCTCTTCCAGTTGGTTGGCCAGCTGGCTATCTTTCAAAATTCTTGGAATAGATGAATATTTCCAGCATTTTAATCAGGCTGTTGAAACATATCAATTAATATTCTGTCAACTCCTGAAGCCTGGGTTTTACTAATACCTTCAGTGTTGAATGGACATCTTCCTCTGATGTCTTCAGTTCTTGATCATACACCACTTCTGGAAATGGTTGAAGGTTGACCAATACTTTATGGTCCAGTAATTCTGTGGATGGAATCCATCTACTTTTTATACTTCTTGCATTGTTCAATCTTTTTCCCCTTGGAATTCTTCAATAGAGTAACTAAGGACTTGAACTTCTTCTTCAGTGGTTTCATCGTGAGCTGCACTAAGCACTCTCCTTTTTGGACTCCGTAGATACAGGCACTGCACCTGTCATTATAATACTCTGTCCTCTCAAGCTCCCCCTTGAAAAGTTTTGTTCAGAATTTAGAGAGCACCCCATGAACATGTTTGACACACTGGACACTAGTGACAGAGACCCGAAGAGCTGTGGAGTGATTTTGAGAATAGCACACATGAAGAAAGCACTGGAAACAGCCATCCATCCATGCCTACAAAACAGAGGGTCCATTAGCAGGCCAGCAAGCAAGAAAAGACCAAAACCCAGCAAGAAAAGACCAAAATGGATCTCAGAAGAAACGGAAACTTGTTTTGAAGGTAGAGCAGCTAAAGCAAATGCAAGAAATGCTGAAGTAAAAAATAGTGGAACAGAAATGTTCACAGGGCAGCCTGAGAAGAAAAAGTCGAGTATTATAATGAAATGGGCAAGACCTGGGGTAAGAAATTCACTAAGGAAAAATATGGTGAAGGAACTGAAGAAAAACTTCAAGCCTGAGTTGCAAGACTGAATAATTTCATGGGATGGTGTCTACTGTCAGATGTGGACAAAATCAGAGAACATTATGTGTAGCATGCTTAGTCAATCGTATAAACATTTTATGATACCATTAAGGACTACTAGGAGACCAGGGATGGCGGAGGGGGGGGCATGGGAAGGTGAGGGAGGGCCGGAGGGAGGATGAGAGGGCTATCACGGGATATTCTTACTGATTGCATTGATGGCGATGGGCTGTGTAACTATGTAGACTATGCTTCTTAAATAACCCTCAGCTTTCTTACCTCAATACTGGCTAACAAAAGGAGGACGAGCAAGACTAAAGTGGACTTGGAGTCTTTACTGACATGCCAGCTCCCTTCAAAAAGAAAGGAAGGAAGAAGGAGAAGAGGAAATATAATTCCATGGGCAAAATAATAAGACAGTTTTCATATGAGCAATTGGTGATATGTTCCACCATTATCCCCTGGCCTCTTTTGGGAAGCACCACAACAGACAAGCCACTACAGTATAATAAACTGACCGATGAAGGGTCATTTAGAACACTAACTTCTGTTGATTTTAGAAAGTGTCATCTCCACTTTATCGTAAGGTTCTAAATGAAACTCTGGCACACACGAGTGCCAGAGGCCTCTGTGTATTGGGTTGGACTGTCGGTCATCCTCTAGTTGGCTCTTGCTGCAAGGAGGTCAATGAAGCTTCCTGGAAAAGATGATAAATGGCATGTATTTGCCACCAACAAAACTCTCTGTGGCAAATCACTTTCAGGATGGGAGGAGCACACCATTGCTATTGCACCTGCATGTTAGAAACAAGTATTATCATTTAATTAAAGCATAGCTCCTTGGTTATCAATCTAGGGAGCTTACCATTGCCCATTATTTGAACAAAAATAAAGGATGTGTTCCCCTTATGGAAGGGCCGCAGGGAGGAGACCAGCCAGTCAGGGTGCAGGGTATCAATGATGAAACATACAACTTTCCTCTAGTTCTTAAATACTTCCTTCCTCCCACTAGCATGATCCCAATTCTACCTTACAAATCTGGCTAGGCCAGAGGATGTACCCTGTACAGATAGGAACTGGAAACACAGGGAATCCAGGGCTCCCTTCAGGGCCAGTGGTGAGAGTGGTGATACAGGAGGGTGGGGTAAAAGAGGGGGAACTGATTACAAGGATCTACATGTGACCTCCTCCCTGGGGGACAAACAACAGAAAAGTGGGTGAAGGGAGATGTTGGACAATGTAAGATATGACAAAATAATAATTTATAAATTATCAAGGGTTCGTGGAGCGGGCGGGGAAGGAGGGGGTAAATGAGGAGCTGATGCCAGGGGCGTACATGGAGAGCAAATGTTTTGAGAATGATGATGGCAACAAATGTACAAATGTGCTTTACACAATTGATATATGTTTGGATTGTGATAAAAGTTATATGAGCCCCCAATAAAATGATTAAAAATACTAATAATAAATAAAGGATATGCAAGTGAGTGATGCCTCTCTAAAATATCTCCATAACTCTTTCCCAATCACTTTTCCTCTCTCTCTCTCTCTCTCTTCATTTTATAAGAAAATTGGCCCTGAGACATCATCCAGACAAGAACCCAGATGACCCAACAGCAGCTGAAAAGTTTAAGGAAATCAATAATGCCCACACAATACTCACTGACATGTCGAAGAGAAACATATATGACAAGTATGGGTCTCTGGGACTCTATGTGGCCGAGCAATTTGGAGATGAAAACGTGAATGCCTACTTCCTGCTGTCAAGTTGGTGGGCCAAGGTGAGTCAGGTTGGGTGGTTGGTTGGTTGGTTTTCAAAAACCAATTTCTTTGGACACCATGGAATTATTTACTCTGTTGGGCTCCATCTCAAATATTTGTTGTTGTTGTTGTTGTTGTTGTTGCTAGTTGTTGTTGAGCCAGTTCTCACCCACGGTGACCTTATGTATAAGAGAACGGAGCACCGCCCAGTCAAGCCGTATCTTCACAGTCGTTACATTTGAGCCTGATTTTGCCGCCACTGTGACAGTCTGGCTTGCTAAGGGTCTTTCCCTGTTTGCTGCCTCTCATACAGTCTACCTTTATTACTACTAAACAAGTAAACACGGGCCAAGGAAAGGAGACGAGGTTTCCTGCTCCAGATGTCATTTGGAGAGCTTCTGCTCTCATTCATCTCATAGTTATGAAATACAGCATGACTTAAAATACCTCTAGATGTTAATTATACTTGAAATTTGAGCTTCAGGTTAATTCAGATGACTCACCCTGCCTTCGTAATGATTAATTAAAAACTGACTCACTGCTCAAGACCAAAAATAATTCATTAGTGTGACAACCACTTAATAAATAATACACGGACATAGAATACATTTAGCCGTGTCCTTAACTATCTATGGCATAGGCTCCCCGAGAGTAAAAGTCCTTGGGGTTCATGCGTGTTAATCGTGTCGTGTCGCAGCTGACGTGGAGCCGGCTGTGATGTCACAGAGAAGGAAATGAGGGGAAGGTGAGAATTAAGCAGCAGAGGACAGGACACTGGAGAAACACGGAGACAATGGACATCTGTCAGTAACAGCAGCTTTGTAGAGGACCTCAGGCACAAAGCACTAACTTTTGGACAGGGAATGTTGTTTTGTTTCTTAATCCCTAGGTATAGAATGTGAGACAGCTTCGTGTTTGTGTTCGAGCTTTGATATCTTTGTCTTCTGATAAAAGTTTGCTTTCATATGCACTCGATGTACAGCCCATCAGCATGTGTGGCAGACACGTCGTTCCACAGTCATATGTCTTGTAATTAATAATGAATAAATAAATCTCTCAAATAGCAGGTTTTATACTCAATAGCATTCTGATTGCTTTGTTCTTCCACTAAAATCTTGTGAAACTGAAACATTTCGTTTATGTAGGAAAAGAGAGTTTTTTTTTTTTTAACATGAACATGAAAAGAGAGTTTGGAACCTGAAAAGCCCCCAGGACCTTTTCCAGCCAGCAGAACTCTCTCTTATTTTCTGGGGACAGCTGGAGTCCGTCTGTGACCGTCCCTCTTGCCTCTGGTCTCAGCTGCGGATGGCCTGGGGTGGAGAGCAGTTCCTGCCAAGCCGAGCTGGGACTTGCATTGCTATTGATGGTGATGGATAGAGTATTCCTCTCCCAGTACAGGCTATTGTGGATGTGCCTGGGAACCTAACCACCAGGTACAATGCTCTTCCCATGGGAAGGTCCACATAGAGTACACACAGTGACATACCAACAGCTGATGGCATATTGGGGCCAGCCCACATAAATATTACATTAGAGATTGTTTGTTTCTTCTTTTTTTTTTGTCCGGGATGTAAACAAAATTGATCCAAATTCATACAGACTAACTAGCAGAAGATGCCCACTGGTGGGTTCAAGCGAAAAAGAGCCCTTGTGGTATAGTGGTTACTCAGTGTACTGCTAACCACAAGACTAGCTGTTCGAAACCACCAGCTGCTGCATGAGAGAAAGACACAGCTTTCTACTCCCATCCAGAGTTACAGGCTTGGGAGCCCACAGTGGCGGTTCTACCCTGCCCTGTATAGTTGCTTTGAGACAGAGTCTACTCGATGGCATTGAGTTTGAGTTTGAGAGTGAGTGTAAGAGAGATTCAAAATAATTCCTGATGTGAATATTTTTGGGGGAGTGGGAGAAGCTACCAAATACATACACCTTGCCTTTCTGCTTATGCCCAAGTCCAATTGCATGACCCATTAGAGTGAGACCTTAAGATATATAACTTACCCGAAAGAATCAGTGTACCACCAAAAAATGTTTCTAAATTAGCTCCAAACAAGCAGGAGGAAGTGAATAACAAAAAAGCAAAAGGGAATAACAAAATTGACAGTAAGATTACAATAGGAAAAAATTCAATGAAACAAAAAGCTTATGCTTTGAAAAAGATCAGTTACATTTACAAAGGTCTCAGCATCTCGGCATACTAACCAAGAAGGTGGGAACAAAGAGAGGGAAGGCAGATCTCCAGCTTGTCTTCCGAGGCCCCCTGGGTGGATTCCAGCTTTTCCACTGGGCGTCAAATGCTTAACCTTTCTGCGCCACGCTGGGAGCTGCTCATGCTGTGAGAGGCAAAGTAAGAGAGGGAGCAAGGCTACTTCATGCAATGAGCCGAAAATCTAGTTGGAATTGTTAAGAGATCAAACAACAGCAATAACAAGATACACTTCATTGAAGGGAAGAGGGTAGGAATTGCCTGATAAAAAGAAACGGCATTAAGTGGCTATAAAAGGGAGCAGCATTTGGGTCTATGGCTCAGGAGCCTAGCCCAGGTCATCTAGGAACAGTTGATGAGAAGGAACGTCTTCAGGTGGTGCTTTTGAAGCAAGAGTTACCCAAGACAATGAAAACAGAGTAACTGCCATGAAGAGATTAGAGGTGTCAGAGGCAACAAAAGTCACCCCACCCCACGTCACCCATGACTCGACAGCAAGGGGTCTGTTTTGTGTTAATATTAGTCAAGGATCTCTGATGACATAAGGACTACATGCCCTGCTGCTTACAAGCTTGGTAGTTGGGACCCACCCAGCAGCTATGTGGGACAAAGATCTGTTGACCAGCTCCAAATAAGGCGATCGCCTAAAGAGAGCCCTATAGGGCAGTTTGACCCTGTCACAACTGGATCACTCTACATTGAAATCAGCTCAATGGTACCTACAGCAACAACAACCTGTCAGTCACAGACCATGAGCCTGGGTGGGCTTGAAGCAGCTGCTTCTTTGTTTTACCTTCATGTATTTGTTAGGGGGATGGGAGAGGGCCAGCTAGGCAAATGAAGCCACAGAAAATACAATTGGTGGCTGGGAAAGGGTGTGTGTGTGCGTGTAAGGTTAAGTCACCAAAATCTTGTGCATCATGGCAGGTGCTGGACCTTAGAAACAGGAGAGCACTGCCTGACTTTTAAGAGGAAGGGGTGTTTCAGAAAGTTCACCCCACTGAGAACATGCAAGGTGAATTAGAGAGAGGCAATGGCGGAGGCCGGAGGCCAAGTTGGAGACTGCTGAAGTGTCCAGCCCAGAGACAGGGATGATCTTTTCTAATGCCCAATTGACCAGGCTAGATGTAAGAATTACTGAGGAACACCACAGGAGTTAGTGAATAACAGGAATGGGGTGGCAGGAGCTCATCCGTGGTGTGAATGATTCGGTACCTTGGCCAGGGAAGCTTGTTCAGCTCATTGGATTTGCAGGGGGGTTTGCTTGTTTGTTTTCATTTTGTGTTCTTAAGAATGATCACAGTAGCTTAAGAATACAGATGAAGATGTTGTACTTCGTCACTTTGGCTTCCTCTGGGTTTAACATGTTAGACAACCCTTTTATGAGGCCCTTGTTTCCAAGGAAATGAAAAGGCTCGCTCCTCATGTGGAATAAGGACGCTGGTGAAGATGTGATCTAAGGGAGCGCTACGGACGTCTGGAGTTTGTTTTTGTCTTATTTATTTTTGGTGGGAGGGACATGCCAACTGATTCAGTTTCTAGGCTTCTCCTCAGCCCCTTTCCCTGACCCCATTTTTCTGCCTCTGTTTCCTCGCAGACCCTGTTTGTTATCATTGGTCTCCTGACGGGCTGCTATTTCTGCTGCTGCCTGTGCTGTTGTTGCAACTGCTGCTGTGGACGGTGCCGCCCCAAGACGTCGATGCCGCCAGAGGATTTCTATGTGTCTCCGGAGGACCTAGAGGAACAGATCAGGACCGACATGGAAAAAGGTGGAGTAAAATGAAAACAGACTCAGTAGGCATTACTCCATAGGCCCAGCCAAGTCCCAACTCCCACTCAAGGGCAAGAGAACCAATAACCAAATGAGGGGAATCCCGACTGTCAGCTTTGGTTGTATTTTAGGAAAGTGTTCTATGCCGGGTATAGAAAAAAAGTGGAATCTGATACTTATTGACAAGAAATCACAGGTGAAGAGAGAGTCCATCGAATTAAAAGAGAGCAAGTGTTGGGTTCAGGGAGGATGGGGGTCATGCACTTTCTCGCAGGAAAAGCATTTCACCCTGTTACTTTAGGGGCTCTATGGAATCCGGAGACCTTGGTGGTACAAAGGTTAAACCGCCAACAGAAAGGTTGGCAGTTTGAATCCAGCATGGAAGAAAGACCCATCATCAGCTCCTGTAAAGATTATACTCTTGAACACCCTATGGGCGTTCCATTCTGTCCAAGGGGGTCACTATGAGGTAAAAATCAGCTCAAAGGCACCTGACAGCGATGCTGAGTCAGAGCAGACTACGCATCATATAAAGTCATCAGCGTGACTTACCTTCTGTTTGAGACCTTAATAATTAATTTTGGTGAGAAAGGTGCTCCTCCTTCCCTTGAAGCTCAGTTCTTTTGTTTGTTTTGTTTTGTTTTTTGGACTAAATCCACACACTCCAGGGATCCTCAAATCAACATGCAGACGATGCCTCACTTAAATGCAATGATTGGTGGTGCTAAGCTCCCTCCACATCTGTAGCTGTGTGTATGCAGGGCCATGAGGTTTTCCGTGATCCTTGTTCAAGTGTTAAAGTCCATTCTACCTGGAATTGATCAAGAAAAATAAAAAGTAAAGAAAAATGGAATCTCACAGAATTCACAACAGCTGCTCTCAGGACATGCCTCTGGGGTCAAACTTGCCATTGTGCCTGTCGCCTCTTGTAGCCATAACCACACTGGGCTTTTTCTTCTGTAGAATGCATCATTATTTTGAATTAAAATCTATGTTGCAAAATCCCACAGAACCCTGGACAACCAAGTAAAAGAATGTCTTGGCAATTGAGACCCAATTACCAAGTGGCCCATTGTTGTCAGAACTGCCAAATTCTGGAACGGCATTTCCCTGAGCTGTTCCATTCTCAGATTCTTCTGAACACAATAAAATAGAAACTTCAAGATATGAAGCACCAGTGCCTCTATGCTAAAAACTATCCAGTTATTGTTCACATCGATTCCGACTGGAAGGGACGAATTTACTTGTGTGAATTGCACTGAATCTCAAACACTGTCAGGTTTGGGAGGACAGTGGGTTTCCTGTACCCTATGATCTGACCCTCGAGGAACCACTGAGTGGCCAGTCCAGAACACACACTGGACGTCCTGAAGCCAATCTGCTGCAAAGGACTTCGTAAAGTGTCAAAGAGCAAAGATGCCGCTTGAGGATGGTGGTAACACCTGATCCATGCCATGTTATTTTCCATCGCCTCCTATGCATGCGAAAGCTGGACAATGCATAAGGAAGACTGTGAATTACAGTGTTGAAGAATACTGAAAGTATCATGCACTGCCAAGTGAGAAAAACAACAATACAAGTATGTTTGGGAAGATGTACAGCCTATTGCTCTTTGGAATCAAAGATGGTGAGACTTCATCTCATGTACTTTGGACATGTTATTAGGAGGGATTCATCCTTGGAAAAGGGCATTCTGCTTGGAAAACTGGCAGGTCAGCAAAAAAGAGGAGGACCCTCAACAAGATGGATGGATGTAATGGTTGTAACAATGGGCTCAGACCTAAGAGTTGGCTGGATAAGGTTGCTATGAATTGGAATGGACTCAGGGCACCTAACAACCCTAACTGGAGCTGAGTTGAGGTCCATAGCAAATACAATGACAAGGTTGTTCTTCTATGTAGGATAGAAGAAGGAAAACTTATCTTTTAATGTGAACATAAATACCACAAAGAGCAAACAAGCAGGAGCCTTAGTAAATGGATTAACCAGAAATAGATGCATGAAAAATTCTACAGAAAACCAGTTAGCTAGGAATAATGTGCTTGAGAATGATGACCCTAGAATACTATGCCCATCTGCTCTTGGGAGAAATATAAATTGTCAGAGATCATGTTAGGAGTCTTTGGCCCCATTTTCTGTAGACCCTACATCTATCAGCCTTGTTCAGTACTTGGTCTGAATTGGGCCAAGTGAAATAGGAGAGTGCCATCATCATCATCTTCATTGTTAATTGTATCTTGACTTTACCTTTATCTTGGAGAAATCAGAACGGAGTGAAGCAAGCCTACATATCCCAAATCCACTTGTTCACACCTCCTGAAAAATCGCAGTCTTTTCTTTTCACAACTAGATACCAGCTCCCGTAGGTCATGTACGTAGACCCTGTGTTAAAGTCTTTGCAGAAGATTTTTGTCCTGGAACAGATATTCCTACTAGATGCCAAATTCTGCCCAGGTTTCCTTCCTACAGTGAACTGGTGATAATCGATGTGCCTCTCACTGTTCTCAAGTCTGACCCCGCAGAGCTTCCAGTTCCATCACAGAGGTCAGTCTAGACGAAGTAACAAGAGCTTCTGTTGGTCTGTGTTACTCTGAATCGGTAACCTAAAGAAAAATCCCATTCTGCTATTTTTAATTCCAAAAAGTTCCTATGCAGGGATGTACCTCAGTTGTGTGTGCCCCCAAACTTGTCTAATTTTGAAAACAGTCTTTATTTAAAAGGATATAGAATTTCAAACAAATGTGAGATATGAAAGTGAGTACTTGAGTTGGAGAAAGAAATCACAGAAAACTTAAAAACTGAAAAATTCAAAAATACCACAAAACCTAGAAAAACCAGCAATAATCTAATTAGCTGCTTGGCAAACCTGTGTAATACTTTCCCTGATGCTTTGTGGTTGCATCATCATTATCTTGTCATATAACAGTGATTTTACAAAATCATTTTCTTTAGGGAGAAAAGAAAAAATAATTCTGTCTTTCCTCTGGCATGTTTAATGAAAATTGTTTTTTTTTGAAAATTGTTTTTTATTATTGAAAAATTAAACAAGTTTCTTTCAGCTTCACAACACATTACTTGAATGTCTTGGAAATTTTAAGGTATTGCTGTCAAATTCAGGAAAATCTTTATCTCATTTATTTCTGATGAAGCATTGAAAGCGCTCATTTGTGTATGCCAAGAAATTTGGAAGACAGCTACTTGGCCAACAAATGGGAACAGATACATATTTGAACCCATTCCAAAAAAAGTTGATCTGACAGATGTGGAAAGTACAGAGCAATATCATTAATATTACTTAAGTAAAATATTACGATAATTCTACAAAGGTGTGCAGCACTTCCTCCACAAGAAGCTGCCAGATAGCAGATGGATACTGGACCTCCACTCAAGTACTTACTCAATGCAAGAACACTTTGTTCTATTAAATTGGCATTCCATGATGTACAACCTCCTGACATGATTGCTGAAGACAAATGTGTGCATAAGCAAATGTGGTGAAGAAAGCTGAATGGTGCCCAACTACCAAAAGACATAGCGCCTGGGATCTTAAAGGCTTGAAGATAAACAAGCAACCATTTAGCTCAGAAGCATCAAAGCCCACATGAAAGAAGCACACCAGCCTGTGTGACCATGAGGTGTAGAAGGGACCAGGTATGAGACATCAAAGAACAAAAAACCTGTCAGTGGGTGCCCACCTTCCCAATATGATCACCGAAGACAAATGTGTGCATAAGCAAATGTGGTGAAGAAAGCTGATGGTGCCCAGCTATCAAAAGATATAGCGCCTGGGATCTTAAAGGCTTGAAGATAAACAAGCAACCATTTAGCTCAGAAGCAACAAAGCCCACATGGAAGAAGCACACCAGCCTGTGTGACCACTAGGTGTTGAAGGGATCAGGTATCAGGCATCAAAGAACACAAAATCATATCACTGTAAATGAGGGTGAGTGCAGAGTAGAGACCCAAAGCCCATCTGTAGGCAATTGGACATCCCCTTACTGAAGGGTCATGGGGAGGAGATGAGCCAGTCAGGTTGTGGGGTAGCAATGATGAAACATACAACTTTCCTCTAGTTCTTAAATGCTTCCTCCCCCTCACTATCATGATCCCAATTCTATCTTACAAATCTGGCTAGACCATAGGATGCACATTGGTACAGATAGGAACTGGAAACACAGGGAATCCAGGACAGATGACCCCATTCAGGACAAGTGGTGAGAGTGGCGCTACCTGGAGAGAGGAGAAAAGGTGGGGTAGAAAGGGGGAACTGATTACAAGAATCTACATATAACCTATATATAACATATAATCTAGGGGATGGACAACAGAAAAGTGGGTGGAGGGAGACACTGGAAAGTGTAAAATATGGCAAAATAACAATAATTTATAAATTATTAAGGGTTCATGAGGGAGGGGGGAATGAGGAGGGAGGGGGAAAAATGAGGAGCTCATATTAAGGGCTCAAGTAGAAAGCAAATGTTTTGTGAATGATGATGGCAACAAATGTACAAATGTGCTTGACACAATGGACGAATGTATGGATTGTGATGAGAATTGTACAAGCCCTTAATAAAATGATTTTTTTTTAAAAGAAGAAGCTGCCAGAAACTCAAACTGGATTCAGAAAAAAACATGGAACAAGGAATATCATTGATAACACCATATCAATCTTGGCAAAAAGGAAGGGATATCAGGACAAGTTTATTAGTGTTTGAGTATACAAAGGCATTCATCTGTGGGAATCATAAGAAACTTGGATAACATTGAGAAGAATAGGAATTTCAGAACACTTCATTATGCTCACGCAGAACATATAGATGGACCAAGAGGCAATTGTTCTAACAGATCAAGGGAATACTGCATGGTTTAAATTCAGGAAAGGTGTGTGTTAGGGCTGTAGACTCTCACCATATTTATTCACTCTATGCAGAGCAAATAATCCTAGAAACTGGGGATGTGAAGAAGAATGCAGCATCATGACTGGAGGAAAACTTACTA